CGGCGACGGATCCTTGCCTAATCAAACACTAACTAATTAATCTCCCCCTGGTGGAGGACAGGAGGAGGGTTGGTGGGGAGAAAAGCTCGGGATGGAGATGGACATGGAGGATCGGCGATGACAGACAGGATGGGAACGGGAGCGGAGGCAAACAAAACAAGTTCGAAAGCTCCGGCGGGAATTGAGGGTGACGAACTGACGACGCAATGCAACCATCACTCGTCGATCAGAGTGCGCGGGCACCACGACCACGAGCGAGCTAGGACCTCCTCACCACGAGCGCCGCACGACACACACCCTCTCATGTCGCGGTCGCGGCCAAAGATTGTAGACCAAGACCTCGCCGGTCGCCACCGACGATATATATGCTATAATAATAATAATATTAATTAATACTCCTCGACCGTCACTTCAGCACTTCATTCTCTATCTGCACGTATGGCACTTCATTCTCTATCTGCACGTATGGAAGTGGTAAAGCAGCATTGGTGTTCGGGTTGACCGCCAACTATGGTTGCAGCAGGTTCCTAGATTTGGCATTGGTGGCCATTGGTGGCCAGATTTGGCATTGGTGGCCGTGGATCTAATTTCTTGAGCTCTATGAAGCCTTCATCTTGAAGACTACTTATCCTCGAAAACACAGGCCGATCAGACAGTCAAGGGGAGCGCCGGCTGTACTATCAAAGTACGAGAACGAGGACCCTCGATGCTTCTATCGTGGCCACTTCTCATGGGCCCTATGACCCCGACGGGCCCCGCGCCCCCGACGGAAGCATCACCTATGTCTACAAAGACAAATCATCGGTAGCTTTATTTGTTTGTGCTCTGTAATATGAGAATTCTTTTTCTCACACTGATGTACTGTGCTTTAACGTTAAATATTAAAAGTTGTTGTTGTCAAGAAAAAAAAAAGGTTGCTCTTGCTACTCGGTCACGCACATGGCAATTAAACAGTAGACACATGAGAATCAGTAGACCTCAACCTGCTTCACCCGCGGACTAAATAAACTGATAAAACAAACCAATGCTATGTGCTGCTCAGGCAGGACCCGTAATAAAGAACCTCAAATCAAACGGCTCTTTGATTAAGGGGCTGTTTGGTTATGCAGAAACTTCTAAAATTCCTGTCACATCGAATGTTTGACACATGCATGGAGTATTAAATATAGACTAATTACGAAACTAATTATATAACTTATGACTAATTTGCGAGACGAATCTTTTAAGCCTAATTAGTCCATGATTTGACAACGTGGTGCTACAGTAACATACGCTAATGACAAATTAATTAGGCTTAAAAAATTCAAAAATTAGCCTCCATCTATGTAATTGGTTTTGTAATTAATCTATATTTAATGCTCCTTATTAGTATCTAAACATTCGATGTGACATAAATTTAGGAGCGACTAAATAACCAAACACCCCCTAATTTCCTTATTCATATTCATGGCATGATGAGGAAACCAGCCCAAATTGAAATTACAGCCCACGGATTATTCTGCCCAACTGAGCAGCGTTTCAACATCTCCTACCGATGGAGGCCATGTCCCCATCACTAACTTATTACAAAGCCAAGACAATCGATTAATGGTTTCATCTTTGCTACCTCAGAACCCACATAAACCGACCACCTAGAGTACTTAGTGATGCAAGAAGATGCGCGCGAAACAAGAGAAAAACATACAAATCCATGGGCTCCCTTCCCACCCAGCATACTCTTCCTTGGGCTAACAGGTACATTCCCAGATAGAATTACAGCACCAGTTTCCGAGTGGAGGCCTCCAGAATCTGTGGATATAAAAGAAGCAAGCATGCATGGCTAAGTTTTCAGTAAAACCGTTGACAACTTCTCAGTGAACCGACTAAGCTTTCAGTAAAACCACTGACAACTCCTCAGTGAAACAACTCTCTGTGGATAGCAGACAAGTCAAACAACCGTGCACGCAATATAATAAAATAAAATGAAATGAAACATATCAGAATGAACCAGACAACACCCCCTCTCGTGTCTTGCTAAACCGTCTGTTTTCAGTTTTCACAACAAGCAAAGATATTCATAGCCAAGAGTAAGTATCATGACAAGCAGGTTCCACCAAAAGTCAACTGCAGGCGATCACTGTTCAACGACCCTAACTAGTGGCATGAGGCTAAAAGTTCCGCGCATTTTGGGGTCGTGAATTTTTATCTATCCTCTACAGAACAACTCTTGATTTATAAATAATAGTGCAACCTTTCTATTACATTGATGGGGAATGACAGATATTGGATGTCAACAAAACTTACATCCTTTCTACTCTGATGAAGCAAGAGCCAGTAAGTTATTATTAAAAAAATTTGATTCCAAATTTGACATGAAACAAACCTGTTCAGAGTTCCAAAGATTCCATTTCTTTCATGATGGAAGTAAAGTAGTAGAGAATCTAGTGAAATCTATTAAGAGCCTGTTCGGATCACATGAACTGGATTTGCTTGGTTCTGCCTTGTAATATGAAATCACAAACCCATCACTTTCCATAGATGGAAAAGGAGACTTGCATCCAATTCGCAGGGTGATAAATGGGACTTATTCCGTGTTGCTTCGGATCAAAGTTCTCGTCCCTGATACCCTAAGCCATTACTCTTTCGTTGGGATCTCCCAACTGCCACCGTTGCTGAGCGCTCCCCATCTCTGCTGTCATTGTCAGCTTGCTCCTCGATGACTAGACACCAGCACCTATTCCCTTCTACCAACTGTCAAGCCCAAGTAACCCAGTTCCCCCATCATCCTGCAACTGAACGATGGATTGGTACCAAGTCACCGCTAACCTCTTCAAAAGTGGAGGACTATTTCTAGTCATGGTGGTTTCTCCGTCTTCCTTTCCTCTCGCTGCTCCAACCCCCATGCTTAACACCCTCAATTACGAAGACCAGGATGTCCAGAGATTCAAGCACTGTGATGTGTGATGTATGATGTAGTCCCAGCATCCCAGGTAGATGGTTGTGGATCAGCAGTGGGGGTGGCAGATTGCAGCCAATGTGCAGAGTGCAGATGACACAGGCACAGTGGGGGAGAGATGAAACTGAGGGGCGCCGAGTGTTGTGCGCTGGTTCTTTGGTCAACTGATTTGGTTGTAATCGTTTTGAAGAGTTAGTGCAACGTTGAACCACTTGATTTTTTGGCTTCTCTGAGCAGTTTGATCTATCGAGTTTGCTCCATGAAACGGTACTCTATTTGTTTTTTGCTGTCATTTTCATTGAAATAAGTCTGGTTTCAATATCCAAACAACATCTTGAATTTAATTGTTGGAAAATGTTTCAAGGTAGTACATCCAAACTAGAAAATCGGTTTTGAGTCAAATCCAGGACAATACAATTCCTGTTGAAACTAAAAGATGGAATAGAATGCTAGAATCAGTTTCAATTCCTTGGACCGAAATTGGCCTTAGGCTAAATCGATACCGAATACTTTTCTGTACATGACATAAGTTAGCAGCAACAAAAGATCTATCTAGGGCGTGGGTATCCAATCTGAATCCCTCTAGACTGAAGTCTATCTAAACATAATGGAAATAGCAAAAGCTTGCAGGTATCACCAACCTTTTGCTAGTCCAAGGATGACGTGGCGATGACCCTGGCACCAAGCGTATCGAGCTGAGCCACGGTTGCTGTTGCCTTGAGTTTGCCTGCGCTCCAGAAGGCGTCCACCATCCTGCGGGCAACCTCCTCCCCCTTTTCCTCCCCTTCGATGACGGCCACCGCTGTGGGGCCCGCGCCGCTAATTGTGCAGCCGAGCGCTCCAGCTTGCAGGGCCGCCGCCTTGACGGCCGCCATGCCAGGTATGAGGGGTGCCCTGGTGGGCTCGACGATGCCGTCGGACGACATCGCGGAGCCGATGAGGCCCGCGTCCCCTTGCAGCACCGCCGCCACGAGCGCCGCTGCCTGGCTGGAGTTGCGCACGTGCTGGTGGACGTCGACCTGCTTGGGCAGCGCGGCGCGCATCTTGCTGGTGGGCGCCTCGAAGTCGGGGGTGACGAGGACGAAGTGGAGGCGGAGCGCGGGCGGGGAGCAGAGCGGGACGAGGTGGAAGGGGTCGTAGCTGCGGACGAGGACGAAGCCGCCGAGGATGGCGGGGGCGATGTTGTCGGCATGGAAGCCGCTGACGGCCTTCTCGGACTCGAGCCCCGCGAGGACGAGGTCGTCGCGTGCGAGGCGGGAGCCGAAGAGGGCGTCGACGGCCTTGGCGGCGGCGGCGGCGGAGGCCGCGGAGGAGCCGAGGCCCGAGCCGAGCGGCAGGCCCTTGGTGAGGTGGATGGAGACGGCGTGGGAGCGGACGCCGAGGGCGCGGAGCGCGGCGATGGCGGCGATGCCGGCGCAGTTGCGGAGCGGGTCCTTGGAGAGGCGGTCCGCGAGGTGGGGCCGCGACGGGGATGTGACGGAGGCGATGGAGACGGTGGCGGGCGGGAGTGTGGGGTCGAGGGTTGCGGTGACGGTGTCGCCCAGGGAGAGGGAGGCGTCGGCGACGGCGCATCCGAGGAAGTCGAAGCCCGGGCCGAGGTTGGCGACGGTGGCTGGCGCGAAGGCCGTGACGGACTGGAAGACCGGGGCGGGGTCGGCGGCGGCGGTAACGTTGACCGTGGCGGGATTGGCTGCTCTGACGCGGAGAGAGACGAGCGATGGCCGAGCCCCGGCCCCGGCCCTGGCCCTAGCCCTGCGGGCGGAGGGGAAGGAGGAGGGCGCGGAGGCTGTGGAAGTCGCCGCCGCCGCCATTGTTTGGTGGGGTGAGGTGAGGACTCTCACTGCTGGGTGCTGGCCAGTGTGACGGAGGAGCTTTTGGTTGGGTCCGGTTTAGTGGTGGGATTCGATGGTGACGTCTCACTGACAGTTGCGGCCCGCACCAGGACTCTCTCCATCACCACTTGGCCTGCCCTGGCTTGGCTGGCTCGGCTCGCCTGGTCTGGTCTGCAGCCCTGGACGCCCTAGTCACTAGTCAGCCACCCAAGACCCCCGACCCATCCGAGGCGATGTCGCGGCGCCGGGCGCTCCTCGCCATCCTCCTCGCCGTCGTCGCCGCCTCCGCTTCCTCGGCGCCCCAGCCCCCGCCTTGCAGCCGCTCGTGCGCGGCCCTCAACTGCGACTGTGCGTGACCCCCCGCCTTATCCTCATCGACTCTATCGGTGCGGCGATCTGATCTGGTTCCTGTTTTGTAACGCTTCTTTGCCGCAGCCGTTGGGATCCGCTACGGCAAGTACTGCGGCGTGGGCTGGAGCGGCTGCGACGGCGAGGAGCCCTGCGACGACCTCGACGCCTGCTGCCGCGACCACGACAGCTGCGTCGAGAAGAAAGGTTACATTTGCTTGCCTTCGTCCCTGCCTGCCTTGTTGTGCTCGTTAGTGAGATGGGTGGATGGATCAAGCCCCTAGCCTGCAAATCATCACTAGCAAGGAATTTTTCATTCGGTTTTGCGTTTCCTGATGCAATGTAATCACTCCACTCGGTATATTATCATTTCCTGGTTGTGATGTCGTTGGATTGGATCCTACTACTACTAACTAGGAGTAGTGGTTAACTGACAAATTCAGTGCCTTACAGCATAATAAATCACTCACTTCAATTCGTTGCTCTGGCTTCTCTCTGGTAATGTGCTGTACTGTTCATAGTTCTGAAGAACAATGTGTTTGTCTGTCATATGGATGGTGGCAACTGGCAATTGGTATGCCATGCCAGTATGTATTGGGATATGAGGGCTCTTTAATGAAGAACAAAAGTTACTAGTATATAAAATCAAAGGCCTCAAACTCATATCAGTGAATCGAACCACAAAAGTTTGCATTTACCATCCATGAAGAGATATATAAAAGTGAAAATAGTGATCAACAAAGGATGAGCATGAGGATATGGTATTGCTGTATTGGTATCCCCACACCACCAACTCAAATTGTTTTTGACTTTTATTCACCTGCAGTTCCTGAGCTGATATGTCTCTTGCTTAATGCTTTGATTTATTTATTATTCTCTGCTAGGTATGATGAGCGTGAAATGCCATGAGAAGTTCAAAAACTGCATGAGGAAAGTGAAAAAGGCAGGCAAGGTTGGCTTCTCCAAGAAATGCCCGTATGAGTTGGCTATGGCGACAATGACTCAAGGGATGGATATGGCCATCATGCTCAGCCAGTTGGGCAGCCAGAAGGTGGAACTCTAGCGTTAGCTAAGCTTCACCTCAGCTGCATGCTGGTTGGTTCTCACTGAAATACATATATACTCCACTGAAAAATAGAATTTACTACCACATGATTACTATTGTTTCAACATACTAGTTGGTGGCATATGCAAATTGGGGAGAAAAGGAGGAAAATGGTGCCCCATTGGTTATTGTAAAAATCCTTTAACAACCATTGCGATTTTGTGGGGTTCCCTTTCTTTACATATTCGGTGACACCGGTGGGCTGCAGGTGTCACCGAGGACATAAATGGAGGAAGAATTTCCGTGTTGGTTCGTTACAAATTGGAGAAAGGGGTATTGGTGATGCTAGTGGGTCATGCTTAACAGTTTGATGAGTAGGAAAAGATGGGTGTTCACTTCATTTAGGTGGAGGTGTGGTGTGCTCCTGTTTTATTTCTTCTTCCTTTTCCTGGTTGATGAGTGGGGACTGTTGGGAGTGTTTGGTTGTAGCAACATTGTTGCAACTGCGCTTAGCAAATCGTGGCCATCTTGATGATATATACTTTCTCCACACTAAAAAAAAACTCGTTTCTCGATAGGTCAAACAATCCCTGATTTGATTAGATATATATACAAACAAACTGTGAATATTTACAATAAACAAATATTTCTTGATTAATTGTAGAATATGTTTTTATAATAAATATATTCCTAAAGCCAGCCGAACTTTTGATGCCTCGGTAAGCTAGATTTTCAATTTTCAATTTTCTGAACGCAGGAAGTATACATGAGCTGCTTGAATTTATGGCGTCCTTGAGTAAATGTAAAAGTTTGCGATAAGGCTGGGGTCAGGACGGACCGACCGTCCGTCCGGACGCCCTGCGGGCGGACGCCCAGACAACCGCAGCGGTTCGTCCCCACTTCAACGGCTTGACTCTCCCATTCCGGATTGCTCTGCCGACCCCACACGTCTCTCCGTTCCCCTCTGGCCTCCGTGGCTCCGTCCCCTATCTCTGACCCGCGCAATGAACCCGCGATGGCGCGCCGCCTCCTCGCGGCGTCGCTTTGCTCCCACTCACCCGCCCGGACTCCACCTCATCACCGCCTGCCACCACCGCGTACGGCGAGCTCCGCCTCCGGGGATTCCCGCGTGTGCCTACACGCTTGACGCCACCTCCGAGGACTTCACCGTCGACCTCCGCTCCAGTTGTCACATCGTGCTGCCCGCGAGGACCTACGTTGCTGCCTTCAGCGACCGCCTCACGGGCTGCCTCGATGACCACCGCATCTCGGGCCTCGACGGCATCCTCGTCAGGGCCTTCTTCCGCTGGCGGTCCATCACGGGCAATGGCGGCCTCCTTTTCACTCTGTGGCATCGAGCTCCGCGCTGGTGTCGAGCTCCACAACGACGAGCTCAATTCGTCCCAGCAGCAAGGTGATATTGCGCTGAAAGCGTATGTTTCAAGTGTTTCAGTTGTTTCAGAGGTATGTTGCAAGGGTTTCGTTTGGATGTTGCAAAAGTAGATCGGGGTGTTGCATATGTTGCAATGGTTGTACATTTATGTTGCAAACGCTTGGTCCTAATGTTTTATCTGCATTTTTCAGACGTATGTTGGAAATGTGTTTATGTGGATGTTGCGTATGTGATGTAATGGTTTTCAAGTGTTTCATGTGTTTTTTCAAGTGTTTCAGATACATGTTTAAACGTTTCATTTGTCTTTGTACGTACTCCCTCCGTCCCACTATAACCGCACGTCTAGGTTCAACGCAGAAACTTAGTGGAGGTGGTAAATTACCTTTCTACCCCTATGCTGCCGTCCTGTACGGATCAGTACGGATCAGCCAGACCGACAGAGTAACAGTGCATATTGTCAAGCCCAGCAAATGAAATGTGTGGTCAGGGCGAGTTCCACGGCTCCAGCCCTGTCCGTCCGCGGCCACTCGTTCCGTAGAGGAAATAAAATATTACTAGTGCTGCACTGCTCTGTCTGAACTTTCCAAGATTCCAGGCTACTGCTGCGCTCGTTCAGGCCTATGAGAACCGAGTATTTTGGGAAAAATTTTGAAATGCAAACGAGCAATTAAATTTGGACTGAGGAAGTACGTTATAAGTGTTGTATCTAGATGTTTTAAAAATAAATCGGACGTTATATCTCTCTCAACGTCTTCTGCTGCCTTACCGAAGTGTGTCCTCCTGGGGGGGGCTGCGGCACGAGTCATTCGAGTGGCACGGAACCCAAGCGACGTGTGGCACGAACCAGACGTGGAGCGCGGGGAGCAGCGCCCGGACGTCCGGGCGCTACCTGTCCGAAAAGTTCGCGGCTTGCGGGTCAACATCAGCATGATTTTGTAGGCTTTGAGAGCACATGATTTTATTTATAGGGAGGCCAGAGTGAGTGGGCACTGGGCAGGTCATCACAATTCACAGATCACATGCATGCATTCGTACTCAGATGCTGACGAAGCGTCCAGGCTGTGTGTGCTCTGCTCCGTGCTCCTGCTCTACGGAGTAGACCGGATGTGTAGGGTGCGCCCACGTGTCGGCAGCGAGCTGCGAGAGGCCCGGCCCATCCCAGCCCAATGCAGGCGCGCGTGGCCGGCAGTGGCAGTTCCTACTACTTCCTAGTGGCAGTGGCATCCCATGCCAACAAAAACTGCTGCTGCTCCTGCTCGTGCTCGGCTGTTCTGTTCGGCTCGTCCTTCTCTCTCCTTTTCCTTCTCCTTTCCCTTTCCTTTCCTTTCTTTCTTCCTCGGGTGCTTCCTCTCTGCTCTGCAACCGCAGCGCAATCCCCTTCTCCCCCACTTGGCCGTGGCCGTGCTCGCTTTCCCAGTTCCCCATTGCCGATCGGATTCGCCTCGCGCCCCCCCCCCTGCTCCGCTCCCCAAGGTAGCCGATCGATCCGCTTCCGCCGCCTCCATTCCCGCTACCTATTTTGTCGCCGTTTCCGCCGATACCTAGGGGGCCAGGCGAGGGGATTTCCTCCGCAGCAACTCTTACTCATCGTCTCTCTCTCTCTCTCTCTCTTGCAGCCCAAACCCTGGCATGGGGTCGAGGAGGGGAAGGCAACATCCTGGTGCTGGCCACGCCGCGCAGCCTCCGCAGCCGGGCGGGAGAGGCGCTGCTCGTGCTCAACAACCCCCGCAGCCTGCAGGAAGAGGAGGAGGAGGTCGTGGAGGGAGCCAGCAGCAGGGGCGAGGTGGAGGTCGCACGTCTCGCGTTGATGAGGCCCAGCACCAGCAGCATGGCAGGGGCGGCCACACTCGTGGCGGGAGTGGTGCGGGGCGCCCGCAGCAGCACCCACGTGGTGCTACACCTCTGCAGGGGGCTGCCCCGTCGTCATCCAGCCATTCAGCTCCCGAGCTGCGCCAAGCAATGGAGGAGGCTCCTCGTGAGCTTGCACCACAAGCGCCACCAGGTCCTTCGCAGCCATCGCCAGAGGCTCCCCCGCCTGTTCAGCCTAGAGAGGAGCACGGGCCAGCTGAGCCCAGTGCAGGCCAGGAGATTGTGCCTACTGCACCTCCACAATCAAGCAAGTCATTCAGGTTTCCTTCGCGCCCAGGAAAGGGCAGTATTGGCACCAGGTGCCTGGTTAAGGCCAACCATTTCTTTGCTGAGCTACCAGACAAGGATCTTCATCACTATGATGTGCGTTCAGATTTCTCCAACTTGCATTGCACACCCTTTACGTTTCTTCTGTTATACCTTATCCTTGATGCATCTCATTTGTCTCGGACAGGTCTCAATCACACCGGAAGTTACCTCAAGGGTTGTTAGTCGGGCCATAATCAAGGAGCTGGTTAATCTCTACAAGCAATCTTACTTGGGTGGGAGGCTACCGGCTTATGATGGTAGGAAGAGCCTGTACACAGCCGGCCCACTGCCGTTTACTTCACAGGAATTTCATATCACTTTATTTGATGATGATGGTGGCCCTGGTTCCGAGAGGTCTGCTGCTCACATTTTATTTCCTCATCAAGACAAGATGTTTTCCTCCCTGTCGCGCAAATTCATGATTATGTTTTCAACATTTCATTGTTTCTCCACTATTTGCTTTGCTTTGCTTTGATCCAGGCGACATAGGAATTTTAAAGTAGTCATTAAATTTGCCGCACGAGCTGACCTCCATCACCTCGAGCTGTTTTTAGCTGGGAGGCATGCAGAAGCTCCTCAAGAGGCATTGCAGGTTCTGGATATTGTGCTGCGGGAACTGCCTTCATCAAGGCCAAGGTAGCAATGAATTTCTACCGTCTTTATAACTAGGAGCAGTGAAGCGAGAAGTGAATCTTGATATTTCTCAAATTGTTTCCCCACAGGTACGCACCATTTGGCCGGTCGTTCTTTTCACCTGACTTGGGCCGAAGGCAGCCCCTTGGTGATGGATTAGAAAGCTGGCGTGGATTTTACCAGAGCATTCGTCCTACTCAAATGGGCTTGTCACTCAACATTGGTAATATGAATCCCCCTTCCCCTCGGTAGTAAATTTGCACATGTTTTCTGTCTTTCCTTATTACTGCATGGTTTTAATCATTGTTTTTTTTCCCATTGTTTTTTTCCCATTTGAGGCTAACACACTTGAAGTCTTCAACACTACTGATGATTTCTTATCCATATTAAAGACACATATCTCTTGGATTTGATTTTACTTTCTGTGACTTTTCAGATATGTCAGCGACAGCTTTCATTGAGCCATTGCCTGTAATTGAATTTGTTGCACAGCTGTTGAATTGTGAAATTCACTCTAGGCCACTCTCAGACGCGGAACGGGTGAAGGTGTTCTCACTGAACTAACCTTTTCCTGATATTTCATCTCATAGGAAGAACCAGTGTTCAAATGAAATATTGTGTATTGCCTTGAAGATAAAAATGTATAATAATGTGCGTAATCATGTCCAGGAGCACTGTTTGGATGTAAAAATAAGCAGTGCATGAACGTAATCTGTGCATTTCCTTTTTGGTGCAATGGAAATTGGGGTATGTCCAGGAGAAAACAGTGCTCTGTTTTTTTTGGGTTGTTTCTTGAGGTTTACATATAGTATAATCTTTCATATTGTTTGTCCCAAAGAGTATTAATAGAAAGTCATTAATTGTGTTTTACTAACTTTTTGTAACCAGAATTGGGGTATGTTTAAAAAATAGTACTCTCTCGATTCTTTAATATATGATGTTGACTTGTTCAATTTTGAAGTATACAACATATATTATTAAAGAACAGAGGTTATACTCTGTAAAGTTATTAGCAGAACAAGGATTATGATGAATTTATAGTTTTCTTGCTGTATGCCACATATTGCATAATCGTGTCCTGCAGAAAAAAATATAGGTGAAACTGCAACAATACTTATGGCTCACGACGCTTGAACTATAATGCGATAAACTATGTGATAGCTGCATATTTGGATTGCTAGATCACTAGATCAGCATGTTGTCCTGCCAAATGCATTTTATCTCCCACACTCAGCAATTCCAAAAAAAAAAGAAGAAAACTTCTTTCAAAGAAAAAAAAGTATGCCTGCAATCGATGAATAAAAACACTGGTATGAGAGTTTGTACCTTTTCTTCTTCTTTTTCCATGTTTAGCACATGGTCCTTTCTGATGTGCATATTTTAAACAATTTAGCTTATTCCTTTTATGTTCACACCCTAGATCAAGAAAGCCTTGCGAGGAGTTAAGGTGGAAGTTACTCATCGTGGAAACATGCGGAGAAAGTATCGAATATCTGGGTTAACAACTCAGGCGACTCGAGAGTTAACGTATGCAAGTTTCTCACTTCATTTCAAAAAGCATTTAAAATGCTAGCTAAATTTTCCTGTAAAAGATTCATGTTCTTCGTGCCACAGCTTTCCTGTTGATGAAGGGGGTACAATAAAGTCAGTTGTACAATACTTTCAAGAGACATATGGCTTTGCCATCCAACACACCTACCTTCCTTGCCTTCAAGTTGGCAATCAACAGCGTCCAAATTACTTGCCAATGGAGGTGAGATTGTGAAACAGTGGTATCCTTTCTTCCTAGATTTGAATCCTGAAAAACTACTACACCTCCAAATTTCCATGTTTAACTCTTTTTTACCAAATCTTGCAATTATTATTAGTTTTGGATTCTTCCCGAGAAATTTTTTAAATTGTAGAGTTTGACTTTATTCAGGTCTGCAAAATAGTGGAGGGACAGAGGTACTCCAAGAGATTAAACCAGAATCAGATCAGAGCTCTTTTGGAGGAGACATGCCAGCACCCACGCGATCGTGAGCGTGATATAATTCGGGCATGTATCTTATTATTTCCAATGGTTTCATATGGCTTTGAAATTTCAACAATTGTCTGTGCCAGTTCAGATCTTTCATTGTAATGCTATCTTGGGTGAACAGATGGTTAAACAGAATGCCTATGACAAGGATGATTATGCACAAGAGTTTGGCATTAAGATTAGCGATCGTCTGGCATCAGTTGAGGCACGGATTTTGCCAGCTCCACGGGTAGGCTGAACCCATTTCTGTCTGTTTTGACCTTTCTCTGCTTTACCTTTAGTCATGCTCTCAGCAGCACAAGTGCTGTAAGCAATGGAATATCTTCTCTTGCACTGGATGTAGAGTATCACAAAGCTGGACGCATAAAGATGCTTACCTTGTAAATATATGGCTTTATTAACAAACCTTTTTCTGTATTTTCACTTAATGCAGCTTAAGTACAATGAGACTGGTCGAGAGAAGGACTGCTTACCTAGGGTTGGTCAGTGGAATATGATGAACAAGGTAACTGCATGGACTTTCTTTAGTTCTTACAAACTATACTCACCTTATTATTATGAGCCCGATGCCCACAGTAGAATAGGAGAGGAAGTAGAGGTGGGGAGACAGACAATATTCTACCACCTGTTTGATTCTTACCGTCCTAACTCTGACCGGTACTGTACAAGTGCTATTTCGCCGCACGACTGCTTTTACAATAATCACGCCTCCCCTTGTGCCTTGCATGACACCATCTGTGATAATATCAAGCTATACAATGAATAGGTCTTTCAGTTAGGAACTGACCTCTGCTGCTCCTGAGAATGGTGTACTTTTATCTTTATTTAGCTTGTTGCGTCTATGTTGTAATGGATTTCCAGTAAAAAGTATTTAATGGTCTAGGCTCTAACAATTGAATTATGTATAGTTAAAACACAAAGAAACCTCATAGGTACAAAGTAGAAGGCCACCTATGTAGTGTCTGGCACACACATAAGACAGATCGTTGCATAGAAGATCCTTATGGAGAACCACCCACCACACCACCGTGTTTTTTATAGTAATAAAGATTTGCAAAACACACTCACCTTGGATTGACGAAATATGCTAGTCAGAAAACCATACTGTCACAATATATAACTCAGATGGGCAACAACAAATAATGCTGCAGATTATTATGTTGCATCCCATATAGTTGCATTTAATAATCAGCATTATCCAGTTCAAAACTGATTTCAAACACTGGCTTTTAGGTTTCATTAATCAAAAGACGTAGGGCATTTGTTTATTGTGCATGGATATTTACTATTCTTTTATTACTTTCCTGTGCCCAGAAAATGGTAGATGGTGGTAAGGTCAGAAGTTGGATATGTGTCAATTTTGCTCGCAATGTGCAAGACAGTGTTGTTCGTGGGTTCTGTCATGAACTTGCACTGATGTGCCAAGCGTCAGGAATGGCAAGTATTCTTGACTGCAAAACTTGCTTATTGACATCACGGAAGCACCTCAAGATCCTTATATAAAAGCAAAAGCACCAACATGAATATTAGGATTTGTACTTCATCCACCTGTTTACAACAGTAATATTATCATGCATAATCATAATAGGATTTCGCTCGGGAGCCTGTTCTTCCACCTCTATATGCACGTCCTGATCAAGTGGAGCGAGCTCTGAAAGCTAGGTACCATGATGCCATGAACGTTCTTGGACCCAAACACAAGGAACTTGAATTGCTTATTGGAATACTACCTGACAACAATGGCTCACTTTATGGTATGTGAACCTGGTCCTTCTAACTTCTAGTTCTTCCTATTGATGCCTGTGTTGTTGTTGGATTCTCATGATTATTATTATGGAGTTCTCTGTTGACATTACTCGTCTCCTTGCTGATGCTAGGTGATTTGAAGCGTGTCTGTGAAATAGATCTTGGGATAGTTTCACAGTGCTGTTGCACAAAGCAGGTTTTCAAAATGAACAAACAAATTCTTGCAAATCTTGCTCTGAAGATTAATGTCAAGGTTCAGTGCCCAGTACCCTCCACTTTAGCGTTTTGTTTACAATTTGCCTTTCTTCTGTGTTTGTCAAGTTGACATCCTTTAATTTGGCAAAGGTTGGGGGCAGGAACACCGTGCTGGTAGATGCTGTCTCAAGGCGAATTCCTCTGGTAACTGATCGACCTACAATCATATTTGGTGCTGATGTGACTCATCCTCATCCTGGTGAGGACAGTAGTCCCTCAATTGCTGCTGTAAGTTGAATAACAACACACTCTTTTAGCTTTAGTGATTAATGATCTGTTCTTGAGTCTTCACTTTTGCTTTGGGAAGGGTTACTTAATTTTTTAACAAGCAACTTTATCTGTAGGTTGTGGCCTCCCAAGATTGGCCAGAGGTGACAAAGTATGCTGGACTAGTTTCTGCTCAAGCTCATCGGCAAGAGTTGATAGAGGATTTGTATAAGGTCTGGCAAGATCCACAGAGAGGGACAGTAAGCGGTGGAATGATAAGGTGCACTGCTCATTATTTCAATTTTTCTTTCTTTAAGAATGAAAGGGACATGCAGCGATTCAGTGATACATTTTTCAACCTTTCTTTCTTCAATGGCAAATGATTTGTTATATGAAAAATTGCAGGGAGCTACTTGTATCCTTCAAAAAATCAACTGGTCAGAAGCCCCAGCGAATAATATTTTACAGGTTTGTGCTCTCAAAGTGAATACCTGTACTAGTGCTTTCTGCTTTCTCTACAGCTTAATCTTCTATCTCCTTGTCAGGGATGGTGTCAGTGAAGGACAATTTTATCAAGTTCTGTTGTATGAGCTCAGTGCAATCCGAAGGGTAAGTATTTGACCAAACCAGGCATGAGCATATGTGGATGCTACCACTAAGCATGATCTCCATGTGTCACTTAGGCCTGTGCCTCCCTGGAAGCGAACTACCAACCAAAGGTGACTTTTGTTGTGGTTCAGAAGCGCCATCATACTAGATTATTTGCTCACAACCACAATGATCAGAATTCAATTGACAGGAGTGGAAACATACTCCCAGGTAATATTAACATTACCTTGTACCTCGTAATTAATATTACTATGTTACTCCCTCCGTCCCGGAATGCAAGTCATTATGACTTTCAAAATTTGTACTGAAATATAGGGCATTCTACGTGGTGCCCATGTTCAGATTTATCATAGTTTGTTAAAAAGAAAACCATGGTTTGAGGAGAAACTCCTTAATTGGGTTTAATCCATGGGTACATGCGTCATTCGAGGATTCCCTTAAGTTGTCTTAAATTTTTTGGAATGTCTTGTATTACAGGACGGAGGGAGTAATACTGATGTTTGTTACTGCTGCTTTTTATCTAAAAAATGACTTCTGCCATGCTGTGCCTTTTGAAAGGTACTGTTGTAGATTCGAAGATCTGCCATCCTACTGAATTTGACTTCTACTTGTGTAGCCATGCTGGCATTAAGGTACAGACCGTGATTTGCTTGCATCTGGCTTGTCAGATAATGTCATTCTATCTAACGTACATGTCATCATTTACCTACCCCATGTATATATAGGGCACTAGCCGTCCAGCTCATTATCATGTCTTGTGGGATGAAAACAACTTCTCTGCTGATGAGTTGCAGACTCTTACAAACAACCTCTGTTACACGTAAGTGCCTATTTCTCTGGTGAAATTTCCTTTTGGAATGCTATTTTTCTAACTCGCATCATGTGTGCAGTTATGCAAGGTGCACCCGCTCTGTATCGATCGGTAAGCTATCCCCTCTTCCAGGGATTGTTTTGGCAGTTGTGCCACTGGCTTGCTTGGTGACTAAAATCCCTTTTTTTTTTTTTTCCATTTGCAGTTCCACCAGCGTATTATGCTCACCTGGCTGCCTTCAGGGCTCGTTTTTACATGGAACCAGAGACTTCTGACAGTGGTTCGGTGGCAAGTGGTCCTGCAGGCCGTGGACCTCAGTCAGCATCCCATAGCACTCGGGCCCCTGGTGGTGCAGCTGTTAGGCCACTTCCAGCTCTGAAGGATAACGTAAAGAGGGTCATGTTCTACTGCTGAGGCTAGGCTGGGGCGCTTATGGTACCCTCACTTGTAAATAAATAAATATGTTTGGAGATCGTAATAATCTGGCAGCTGCTACTTTGGGTGTTGTACTGTTACCATTTACTGTACTGGTCTACGTTTCTTCCTCAAGCACCACATGTATGCACTCATGCTATTGTCTCCACGGATCATGTATGCACGCTGTAACATAGTAATACCCTCGGTTGTGTGTGAGTAATTCCGTCTGTATGTTGTGTAAAGGAATAAGGAAATGGTATCTCCGTTTGGTTATCTGGAGCTGTTCATGCAGGTGCTCTGGAGTCCTGTCACCTGTGGGAGCCTGTAGCGGTAATTAAAAAATATATATATCCTGTGGATTTCAGTATCAATCTGAACACTGCATTAGGCGAGACTCAATCTTAATAGGCAAGTAGCTAACTCTGGTATTACTTATGCTAGGTTGGTGATGGTTCATGTTACGGGCAGCATGCAACTCTGGTCAGTACGTATTGCTTTTACAATCATCATGGACACCGCGATTTTATTTATTTACTTATTTTCCATTTACATCCTTCCCAGTCAATGACAGTTAAGAGAAAAAGATGAAACAAATTATCACTCGGGCACACATCTGGCTTTGGTCTGGACAGCCGACAGTCCCTCACTTCAAGCAGTATCCGAGAGATGAGAGGCTGGCAGCACTGGTCCAAGTAAGTTGCTCGCAATTCTGCAGAGTTCAGAGTTCAGACAGACACAGCTTTTACCATGGATTATTAATTCAATCAAATAATTGTGCTTTGCAGCTGCAGCATGATAAGCTCTCACCTCTGAATCCTTATCTGCGTCCTTCTGCATAACAAACCACCAGTCAGTCAGTTCAGTTGCTTCCCCACTTTATCTTCAGTAAATTTCTTAAGAGTGGATATACTTGCCTTTCTTTTGGCCTTGGTGCCGACCTATCAGGCAATGCCACTGCCGTAGCTTGGTCAAGTTGTTCGCCCACTTTCGGCACCGCATTTGCCTAAAAACATCAATAAAGTTAAAATTTTGCACTCTTGAGGTACTGTACGTAGTTTCCTTCAAAACACAATGAGAATCCTACTCCAGCTAGTACTGGTCCTCGACTCACCAGCTTCCTGAAATGAAGGTTGTAGAACATCTGTAGGTACTGCTGTTTGGCCTGCTTCTCTTCTTTGTCCAGGGTCCTCCAGAAGCCATACATTGACCCCATGTTCAGAACTTTGGTTGCATATATCTTCCAGGTGTAGCTACAATCAAAGACAACACAAATGTCACACACAATTGGTGGGCGTTCTGTTCCTTGGATGATTACTGGAGATATGTTACCATTCGTAGATGCGTTGCAGTCCAGCGGTGGACATTCTGTTCCAGTACATGGGATCTTCGTTGCATTTCTGGAAGAAGTTGGCAATCTTGTTGCTTGCTTCTTTGCCATCAAATGGGTTGATATGGAAACCTGAGACCTCATTGACAATGATTTCTGCGGGGCCTCCCTGATTTGTTGCAAAGGTTGGCAGCCCACAGTTCATTGCCTCGATGACAGTTAGTCCGAACGCTTCATAGAGCGCAGGCTGAAAGGCACAACATTGGATGGCTAGATTAGCACCTAGTTTCATTACTAGCATCTCTCCTGGATATCTATATCGTAACTCTTGAGTACCTGAACAAAGGCTCCCCTGGTATCTGCTATGCAACGGTAAAGTTCCCCATTGCGGACACGGTCTGTCTGGGCTTTTATCCATCGGATCTGCCCCTTGAGCTGGTACTTGTTGATCAAACTGTGCATCTTGTTTATCTCCTCGATCTCCTCCCTGTCCTTGGATTTCGTGGGGTCCAGGAGCCCTCCCACGACTACAAGGTTGACAAGGTCCCTGAGCCTCTTGTCCTGACCATACCATTCAACCAGCCCAGTGATGTTCTTCACCTTGTCAAGCCTTGCCATTGAAAATATGACCGGCTTGCTCCTGTTTTCCAAGTAGCCTCTGCTTGCATCATATCACACAGTTGAGAACCATAAGCACGATTTCGCCAAAAGTCAAAGGAAAACAAGCCTTAATGCATGTACTTACATGTGCTCATCATTTTCCTCTTTGCCGTAGACTAGCGCCTCGATCTGTGGGTGCAAGTCTGTGAGGCGCTTGTGCTTTAGTGTGAATGGGAAATAAACTGATTGATCCGCGCCAGGGGCAGCGATATTGAACTTGGGGTCGAAGATATTGATGCCTGTAGCGAAGCGGCAGAGCCCTGGCATTGTGAACGCATAGTGGCTCTCATACTGGCCAGGCTTGTCTTTGCTGCATGGTGTGGTGTCATTGCGAAAATGGTTTGATGAGTAGTAGTAAGTAGCATGACATTGCCCAAGCAAAGTAAGGCACAGGGCACACGAGGAATTTGGTTAGGCAATGGCTGACCTTCCTGCTATTTCTTGGTAGGTGCTAGCGATGATGAAGTCGCTGGTGTTCATCGCGATCATATCAGCAGTAAACTGGCACGAGAAATGATACTTGTGGTCCATTTCTCTCCACTTGACATCGGAATCCTCATACTTTGTCTTCTCGAGAGCATGCGCGATCGTCCCCTGTTACATTGATCATTGATGGATATATGATATTTTTGTTTTTGTCAGATTTTACTTGATTGGTACCAGTACCACCAGGAGAAGGTTCTGCATTGCATGATTAATATACTGCAACGGCGGGTTTTTCACCTGGGTAACTCCTAGCTTCCTTGACACGAGGTAAGCTACTAAATTGCCGTCAGTGTAATTGCCGATGACCAGATCTGGTTTGCGCCCCAATATATCTAGGATCTTGGCACAAGAATCCTGAAGTTTCATGCCATGTCATGGTACATATATTTGTAGAAATAGAACGGCATTTGTCAGTGTATGTCATAATAGTAGTAATAATACATATACAAGAGATGCAAACCTGTGCGTATCTCTCTAGGTAAGGGTAAATGTCGAACCGGGAGACCCAGTGGGGCAGATCCTGGCCATCTTGGGTCTTGAACGGCACACGGAGGATGCTGGAGTGCCTTGTGTTCTCAATGGGTTCCAGCTCCACGTTGCAGGTGGTGCCCTTTGCTTCTGGTATGAGCCTTGTCAGCTGCATCAGCAACGGCATTGATTGGCATGGTGACTGACTGGGTGAGTACTGGTACGCCGTGTTAGACGTACAGTACAATACAATACAACATATATATGCATAATATGATGGCCTACCACAAGGATGTTGGGCGTGAAAGTGAGGCCCTGCCCCTTGATTCTCTGAAGAAGCTCCTCTTCAAGCGCTCTGACTTGGTCCAGGATGTAGACGACCTGGCCGCCGGTGTCGGGCATCCCCAGGACCTTCTGCTGCCCGAAGTAGCCGTGGATGGAGAAGATGACGACGTCGAACACCGACGGCACCCTGCTGAAGAACCTGTCCACGCTAGCAGGGTCCGGGGCCTGGAGCACCTCGGAGAGGCAGGCGAGCGTCTGGCCGCACGCCTCGGCGGTGTCGCCCCATCCTTTCTCCAGCCCCCACTCCTGGAACCTGTGCGCCATCTGCTGGTACGGCGTGTCCGGGTGCTGCTCGGAGACGAAGGCCTGGGCGAGGAGCAGCGCCGCCTGGAGCTTGCCGACGGTGTCGAGGGTGTCGCTGATGAGCAGCTTATTCTGCTGGTCGCCCGGCCGGTACCTGAGCGCCAGCAGGTAGTCCAGCAGCGGCTTCTTCATCGACGACATCTTCTCCGTGGCAGTGCCAGTGCCAGGCCTGCTGCCGCCGCCGAGCCTGGAGGACAGGAATCTGGAGACCAAGTGCATGCCGTTGCCGATGGAGGAAGGCAGCGTGAGGCGAGGCGTGGAGAGGTCCAGGGCGCCCAAGTTCACCTCCAGCGAGTTGTCGTCCTGCGCCCAATGGTTGTCGTATAGGATTTCCTTGCGCTTGAGGTAGTCGGAGGGCGTGATCTGCTGGACGGTGAGGTCGCCGGAGTGGACGGTGATGTACTCCCAGACGCCAGGGTTCCTCCGCACGGCCAGGGCCACGTAGGGAGGGAGCACCACGGCCTCATGCGTGCAGGAGATGACGTGGCCGAGGAAGCCGTCGGCGAGCCTGCTGCTGTCCTTGTTGTCCACCGCCGCCGAGCCGCCACCGCCGTGGAGCTCCTCCAGGAGATGCTGCTGCTTCATGAGCCTGCTGCCCTGGGACACGTACCGCTGGAAGCAGCGCTTCATGTGGTACCGGCTCTGACGCAGCGCCTCGGGCATCATGTCCGCGATGCTGTCCGACCGCCTCATCATCTCCTCTCCTCTCTTCTAGCAATCTACTAGTGCCGGGAGGAGGCAATGTAATCGCAATGATGCTTTGCTCCATCTCTTTGTTATCTTTATATATACACACCAGAGTACCAGATCAGATCACCAGAGTAAGAACTAAGAAGGCAAGGCAAGCATGGCTATAGATGCTTGTTGGGCGAACAAGGACAGTGGACAGAGGAAGGAAGGATGGAGGGAAGAGAGAATGGATTTTGATTGGTGGACGACAAGCAAACATTGGCATGGGACGCTAGGCAAGCAAGGCATTGCCTTTACCTTTACCTTCGAAATGCTTGTCGTCGGAATATAATGTGTATTTGTATTGTGTACGGGTCTCATATAGGAGTACTACACATGAGACATGCGAGTAAATTGGAACATTTGTTTTCAAATGGGTCATCGCCATCTTTACCTCCCTAAACTGTATCCGTGATTTTATTTTCCTCCTCGAACTCCAAAATTAGATGTCTTATCCCCTGAGCTCTTAAAATCATTCCAATGCAATTACCTCTTTGCCCTAGTTGAAGTGGTTTCATCTTTTTTTATATAGTAAATTAAAATCCTACAAATACTTGATACGATTTTAAACCACGAAAATACCTATGGATTTTCTAAAAATTTTGAGAAAAATTCTAGCGATATACTGGGACATAGAAAACCAAATCAAATATTTAAAGCTCATGAAAATACTTCTAGAACCTTAGAAAAGTAGATTTAGCTCAAGGAAAATGAAAAATATACAAAAAAAAAATGAACGATCCCGATTTCCCCGAAGGGAAATCCACAGATTCAAAATATAACGTGATAGTCCCAGGTGATCATTCCATCACGTTATCAAATAACAATCGATATCATAGTAATACATTGAATATCTGTCTTAAAGAGAGTACAAATAGCAAGATTTACTCATTATTACATCGCCACTTGGCGGAATCACTCAGAGCATGCAGCAACTAGAACAACATCAAGTAGAACAGCAGCGGACGTTGACTACATCTTCATGAACCGAACTTGAGCGTAGGAACAAGACCTCTAATCCTCCCAACCATCTCCCTGGTAGTCGTACTCAGACTCGGAACCTGCCAAACAATTATCAGTACGATTTGTACTGGCCACTGGCTCCCACCCTATGCTTTTGCGTTTGTTTGTGGTAGTGGAATGCAAGAGTAGAGCAAAAGACCTATTTGTGGTTGTAGTTTCCTATGCGAGTACGTCAAGTTTTAATAATAATTCATCAAGTTTTATCACATCTCATCCACACATTTTTCCATCCCATCACACACATCTCACCACTCTCACACTCTCTAGGCGACAAGGACGACTCCCTCTTGTGCCTTGCCTCATCGGCCAAAGCAGGAATCCAACACAAGAACCCAGGGGTGAGAGAAGAAAGAACTCCACTCAGTAATCAAGGGAAGCATAGGTCATAGGAATGTCCATATCCGAGGACGCGGTTATACATATAGATCGATCAACTCTGCAGAGTGTGTACATCTAGAACCACAAGATCACCATCATCGGCGGTGCCCCGCCTAGGCTAATATCGACTGCCTCCCAACCGGTATGGTGCCATCCTACCACTCAGCCCTAGGTCACCCTAGAGTCCACCGAAACGCTGAGACTATGAGACATAGTACCGGGCCCCCAGAGGCCAGAGGTGACTGCACTGTCTTAGGAGGGTGTGGGCCATACGCCCGTACCTCCATACACTATCCACTTCCAACCTAGCAGTAGTGGCACCGTTCTAGTTGATCGGGTAACCGTCCCCCGCCCATTCAGGAGCGAGTGGTGTGTACGTAGGGTCCTATGATCCGGTTCTTTCCACATACCAGTCCTTAAGGGGACCAGACATGATATCTTCTCAAGGGGATAACCAACACCTCGTGCCTCGACGGTACCTCCATCCCGGGGCTTCATCCCACAAAGACACTCCACCTCGGGATCTCCTCATCTCACATGCACCCGCCACAGGTACCTCTCGTAGGGAATGCCTGGGTCGCACCCCCGGCAAGACTCGTCCAACGATTTGTCGTAGGATCCTGCCCGATCGACTTAACCCTCACCACACACCAAAGACGCACGCCAAGATCTCCCCAGTTGTTACCACATTATCGGCACCAAGTGCCTTAACCACTCACAAACAATCCTCCACCAAGCATCACATCATAGATATAATGCGTAGTAGAAGCAGTAGCATGTAAGTAAGCGAGCGTCTAGCCTATCAGCGGGTGTGCAACGGTATAGGTTACGACAAGGTAATGGCTTACAAGCAATTCTACCATGCATCCTATCACAGATCATTTGCATAAAAGTAAAGCACTAGCATCTATATTATAGCATGTCTAATAGGATTCTACGAGGTTGGGTGGGACGTGGCACCTGGCAAGTCATCTCCAAGCTCCTCAGTGTAGTCGGGGTCGTACTCCTCAGTCTATGGCTCCTCTAGGTCTATCAAACGAGACATATATTCGCGATAAGCGACTCCTAATGATGATCACAAAGAAGCAAAGGAAACTCCAAAGGTCCAAATGCACTCAAACATAAGCCTATGACGTAGAGCTCATTTTTAGAAAAAAAAAATTGGACTCTGCTTTCATATTTTTCTGAAGTCGTATGAATTTTCTAACTTTAAATCACATTTTGAAAAAGGAAAGAAATAGAAAAACCAGAGGCTGACACGTGGCACATTATGATTAGACATGGGGGATACGGTCACTAACATCTGGGGCCTGGTCAACGGTCAGCGTTGACTGGGCTCGGACCAGGCTTAGCGGGCCGGATAATGGGTCGGGTTCGGGCCGGCTTGGCCCGAACACATGTCGTGTCGGTAGGCCATCCACGTGGCGCTACTGGGCCATAGGCGAGCTCGTGGCTTATGGCTCGGTCCACGGTGGTTCCCCAGGCGTGGGCCCATGGACCACTTTTTGGGCCCATGGTGGACCGTGTCCACTGTAACACCCCAGGTGTTTGGCTTCCACATTTGCACTACATTTCATGAACATGAGCATCATGCATCCATTCTTGAACTTATATCACATGAAACATGATTTCGAAACATTGCAACATGTTGTGTATTTCCTGTGTATTGTTTCTGTATGAAATGTAAAGTGTCCAACACTTAAGTGCAACCTGTGCCACTCACTTAGTGAAACAAGATTAGTTAATGCGATGCAACAAGATCATGAAATATGTGAAACATGACTAGAAAACATTTGCAACATTTCTTGTGTTTTTCATCGTTTCAGTGTATACCTTGATTGATTCTTGTGTGACCAATGCATGGTGTGGCTAGAAATGCTTGTAAGTAACTTAGTTATACTTAGAATGTTATTAGGAACAATGTTCATGTTGATCATTTTGCCTAATTAGGTTTCCAAGTCATGGTTGACCAATTTGGACCCCTAGAGCTCCTGTGTTTGACTGTTTTAAAAGTGTAGCTTAGGATGTTTGCATGTCTGAGCAACCTAAAGCAAAGTTGTAGAGAATTATATAAGGAACAAAAGTTATTTTATGGCCATCTCATTAAAATGTGCACAACATGCTCAAAAATGGCCCACAAGTCAGATTTGAGGTTGGATTCAATACTTAGAATTTTTCTAAGTATGAAACTGAGTTTTCAGTTTCATGAGCTGGACTTTGGCTTGATTTTACTCTGTATTCGTTGAGAATTAGTCCTTGGCACTTAAATAGAAATTGAAGATGGAAGTACGGGCTACAACTTTCATGTTCATTATTTCCTCTAATATGTCACAGTTTAGGAGTTAATTGGTGTCAAAGTTCGCCTGTCAGTCGGACTCGATGAACACTGAAACGAAAGTTTCAGTTCGGTCATGGCCGACCGGCAACAGAGGTCGTCCGCCGCGTGGCGCCGCGCGTCGCCATTACGCTGCCCGCTCAGGCCACGTCGAGCCTCGGCGCTCCACATTACGCCGTGCGCACCCCGGCTGTGACCCTGCTCCATTCACTCCTCCCTTGCCTCCTCTCTCGTCGTCCGTCCAAGCGCAGCAAGCAAGCCGCATTGCTCCACCATTGCCGCCGATCGGCTCCGCTTCGCCGTCGTCGAGCAAGCTTGCGCCTCGTCGCCCATTCGCCATCGCCTTAGCTCCTCCGGCGTATCCACCGTCGCATCGCACCCATGGTTGCTTGCTAGCGCGCTCGGTAAGCTTTCCGCGCCACACGACCTCGTCGGAATGTCGCCGTCGCGCATTTCGTCACCGTGGCCGCCCATCTCCGACCATCGCGGGTCCTTCGGGGTGCACTAGATTCACATGGGGATGGGAAACTCGGCTTAGCCCGTGATTGTGCTAATCCGGTCGCCGCCGTCGCCGTCTCGCCGTTGAGCGAACCACCGGAGCTCGCCGAGCAACCGTGCCGCGTCGCCGCTATAGGTTGAGGCCGATGAGATCAAACCCTAGGCACTAGCAGGTCCGCCTCGTCGTGGTGAGCACGACGGTGGCCTTGGTCTCACCGGAGACTTCATCGCCGATGAGCTGCGCCGCCTTCCGCACATCGCAGCCGCCTCCCCTGCTTTCTTTGTCGTGACCGGTGGGGGAATTTGTTTGTCGGTCGGAGTCCCACGTCGGTGGCTAGGGATTCTTAAGCTAGCTCAAAAAGACAGTTTTGAATGCCGATTTGTGATTTTTGTAACTCCTAAATGGTAGATCCAAATTGAGTGATTCCAATTTTGTTAGACTCACAGTTAGGTCTAGTATTTAAGAAAAATATATCTTGAGCACATTTTGTAGAAATTTTGGATGAATTAAATAGGAACTTTAAAAGTGTTTTTGAGTGCATGCAAACTTGTTTAAGTCATATCTTGAGTTTCTGTGATCCAAAAATTGTGAAATTTTGTGGGTAAGCTAGTATTGCCTAGTAGAAGCTCTGGTTAAAATTTGAGAGTCATTGCATGTGTAGTTTTTGAGTTATAGATTTTCCTTTTATCATTGGATGATTCTTGTGGGAATTTTAGTAATTTATTTATGAAT